CTTGGACTGTTTTTGCCTGGTGTCTAAAGACATGTAATGATGGTGCCAGATTAGGCACCCCCAACATTCGGCCCTCCAGATGTTTTGAGACTACAATTCCCATCATCCCTGACCACTGGTCCTGTTAGCTAGGGATCATGGGAGTTGTAGGGCAAAACATCTGGAGGGCCACAGGTTGGGGATGCCTGTGCTAGATGAGTCCCTTTGAGGAGAGCATTCCACAAACATGGGGCCACCACAGAAAAGGTCCGTTCTTGTGTTGCCATTCTCCTAACCTCTCAGGGAAGGGGTTGCATAAAGAAGGGCCTGGGATTCTTTATGTATTCTACAAGCATTATGGTTCTCCAAGCGATTTTGGCTACATAATGGTGAGACATTCCCCTAGAAGTTTGGAATCAGAATATGCTAGCACGTTTTCCTTTAGTCTTTACATTCTTCTCTACTTCTGCTTATTGTTTATATAAATTATGTCGATGGGCTGTGCACTTAACTGTAATCATATCATACTGTTGTGTGACATGCATATGCTCCATTGAAATGCTCTATAAAAACTGTCTTTTCCTTTGCTTGTCTGGTTGTAGTCTCAGTTTACAGTGCTACTTGTCCCATTCAAAAGAGGGAGTCAGTGTAGGTGGTATTTAACTAAGTCCTACTCAGAGTAGACTCACTAAAATTAATGAACCTAATTTAGTCATGCCCATTAAGTTCAGTGGGTCTACTCTGAGTAGGACTAGGATTAAATACCACTCCATGCTTGCTCAGGTAGTTGGGACTCTAGCAGATACCATTTTAATATATATATATATATATACACACACACACACACACACACACACACGTATAGGTATGTATATAACATTTGTTTTAAAATTAGTATAAAAGGTAAAGGACGCCTGATACTTAAGTCCAGTTGCGAACGACTATGGGGTTGCGGCGCTCATCTTGCTTTACTGGCCGAGGGAGCCGACGTTTGTCCGCAGATAGTTTTTCCGGGTCATGTGGCCAGCATGACTAAGCTGCTTCTGCGAAACCAAAGCAGCGCACGGAAACACCGTTTACCTTCCCACCGGAACAGTACCTATTTATCTACTTGCACTTTGACGTGCTTTCAAACTGCTAGGTTGGCAGGAGCTGGGACCAAACAACGGGAGCTCACCCTGTCGCGGGGATTCGAAATGCCAACCTTCCAATAGGCAAGCCCTAGGTTCAGTGGTTTAGACCACAATGCCACCTGCGTCCCTTTAAAAAAATTAGTATAGGTATAACAAATTGGACGCAGGTGGCGCTGTGGGTTAAACCACAGAGCCTAGGACTTGCCGATCAGAAGGTCAGCGGTTTGAATCCCTGCGACGTGGTGAGCTCCCGTTGCTTGGTCACAACCCCAGAGTCGGTCCCGTTGCTTGGTCACAACCCCAGAGTCGGTCACGACTGGACCTAATGGTCAGGGGTCCCTTTACCTTTTTAACAAATTGGAACTGGAAACAAAATGGTGTATTTCAATTGAAGTTACCATATTTTTCGCCCTATGGGACGCACTTTTCCCCCTCCAAAAATGAAGGGGAAATGTGTGTGCGTCCAATGGGGCGAATGCAGGCTTTCGCTGGAGCCTGGAGACCGACCCCTCTCGCTCTCCAGGCTTCAGGAAGCTCTCCGCTAGCCATGGGAGAGCTGCGCGAAGTTGTGCAGCTCTCCCACGGATAGCGGAGAGCTTGCCTGCACCCAGAAGATTGGGGTGTGCTGCGCTCAGCACGCCCCAGGCTTCGGGCTTCGCGCAGCTCTCCGCTAGCTGTGGGAGAGCTACGCGAAGTTGCGCAGCTCTCCCATGGCTTGCGGATAGCAGCCTGTTCTGGGGGCTGGGGTCGGGGGAAGCTCGGGCTTCCCCCGCCCCAGCCCCGCACCGGGGGGGGGAATAATTTTTTTCTTTATTTCCCCCCCAAAAAACTAAGTGCGTCCTATGGGCCGGTGCGCCCTATGGGGCGACAAATACGGTATCATTTTTCCTGACTAACGCATAAATATAAGAGAGGTAGTTAGAAAAATAATCATATTTTATTATTGAAAATTTAAAATAGTTGTTGACTGGCAGAAAAAAATGTTTATTAAAATACATCTAACTAAAGGCTTGCTTTTGTTTCGTGTTTGCCAACAAAACTTGAAAATTTAATAGCACAAAATACGTTACAGCCAGGTTCCGATGGATCTTATAAGGCATATAAGGCAAAATTATTTTCTGTTGGTGTCTAGATTCATATTTTTATTAGGTTATTTGAAATTCCGTCTGCAGTCATAATTATGTCCTAACCTTTGGCATAATTTAGACTTTAATTTGAATGTGCAGTTAAGGATCCACATTTTAATGAGGGAATATAGATGTGTAAAGTGAAGGTGATAGATTAATGCAGATAATCAGTTGCTTACTCATTTAATAAAGCAGGGTGTTAGTAGGTCTGATCAATTAAGGAATGGTTCTTAGGAACAACTTTTGCACAGACAGGTTTATAGTGGAACATCCTGACTGGCAGATGTTCACCCTTAATTAAACCTTTTATTCTACAAATTCAAGTCTTCTTATTTGTATGTAGCCTTCAAGTTAATATTATTAGGTTTTTAGTGAAAATAACATTTGGAGTAAATTAAAATAGGTTTATTAATATTTTAAGTGTGTTTCAAAACTTAAGGCCTCTTAAGATTGAACTAAGTTTCTCTGCTTCATTGAAATAGTGGCCTGGATCAAATAGTAGCTGATATAGAGGGATAATTCTTCATTCAGTTCTAGGTGTTGGATAATTATCGTGAACCTTTTCATTGAGCTTAAATTCAGGATAACTCTCAGCTAAGCTTTATTTGTCAGCAGGACTATTTCAAAGTTAAGTAGATTGTGGATGGTTAGAAATCTAGAAAGAAAAAGTTAGTATTTCTGATAATGTTTCTCAGCCCCTTCATAATACATTGCAGACCAAGATCCAGCAGGCTTTCTTGTGAGTAAAAGCACCATACTGATTTCTTAAATAACATGATTATTATATAATGCTTTCTTTTTGTTTGCTATTGTTTGCATCAAAGTAATGCTTTCATTTTGCCTGCAAGAGGTTTTATTATTTATGCATAATGCATGGGAAAAGTTTGACTTTCTTTGCATCTTCTTTGCATTTATACATCTCCATATTATTACTTAAAAACAAGATAAGTTTTTAGTGTTGCATGGTTCAATGACTTACAGGTCTCTGCCTACTTGATACTTCTGGTATGAACATGGGATAGTCATCATTCCTCTATACAGTGAGTTCTGTTCTTTGTGGCTAACTGTGGGCTCCACATTGCTGACATTTTTGTTGTAGGCACCACACCTGGTCATCTTACTTCTCCTATTATCGTCTTTGAATGTCCTCACTTGTGATTATCGAATGTCTTTTGAAATCTGCGAGATAAAAGGGATCATAGTAAAAGAACTTCAAGGTGATATATTAATCCCAACAATCTCTAGTGTGGCATGCTGTAAAAGTTTGGATTTTTCTTTTTTTCTTTTAAAACAACAACAACAACTTTGATGCATGCTGTTTTTACTGTGTTACAAATTAATAATTACTCTAGTCTTTAAACACAAGTAGGAACCTAGGCAAAAAATTGTTTTATATAAAAACAGGAGTACTATGCAGAATGCAGAAAGCAAAATAGTCATACTGTGAGGTTTAAAGTTCACCAGAAGTATGTTGTAATGATACATACATTGCAATTTGTTAGAAGTATTTTAAATCAAACAAAAACTGGTAGAAATCAACTACTAAACCAGATTCATAGTATTAAGAGCCAATAATTGTTCATACTTAGCATTTAAAGGAAGGGAGGAATACAGCTCCACTGTATAGTCAAAGCTGCTTAGAACATAATACTCTTCAGCCAGTATGCTTTATACTCAGTATGATAGATATAATGTCTATCCTTTCATATGTCTTCATAGTCTATGAAGGCAGAGTGATTGTTCTGATGTAAGGTAATAGGATATGATCATATACATACACTCCTTAGGTGGAAGAGTTTCACCTTGTAGGACCTACAACTGGGAATGAAATACATTTCCAACAGAGAGTGCCACCCAAGGACAGATACTCGCCATAGGTAGTCTTGAGAAATGAATTTGTCACAGCCAGACCACTCTCAAAATTCAGAAATTTAAATACCATCAACACCTTTTTACATAAGGTCTGACAGACTATAATAATAAAAAAACTCATTGAAAGAGCTCCGTATTCTAGACAGATATGCACCATTGTAACCTCATTTGAATTAGAATTGTTCAAATTGAGACTTTGACGTTAATGTGGACAAGCATTAATAGTGCAACATGACTACAAAATAAAGATGCCAGTCTACTGTGATTATGCAACTGAAGGTAACACTTTCACTTAGTATTTTAGTTTATGACTGTTCATGGAGAATGCATGAGCAAAACCAGTTCCTTAATGAGCACATTACATGGAATAGGCATTCATGTAGTGGCAGAGTAGGAGCAGCAATTTAAGCAGAATTCTCAATAAGCCATACTTGGGACTGTTGTGCTTGAATATATCCATGTGCTTCATTCAAATGCAGTCAGTGTTGCAAGCAATTTGTGTCATAGCTGCATGACTCCTTCAAGGTATTTTTCAGCTGCTGTACTGGATCAAGTTTTTATTTGATCTAGAAAGTTTTTGATGTTTGTATGCCTATAAAGTAAATAATAAGGTGAAAATTTCTCTTACACTTTTGCTTTGTCTATGGTGTATAATGTACATGTATCAGCAACCAATAGTCCTAAGTCTGTATGTATCATACTGTGGCGAAACATATTTCTTACTTAAATATACAGAGGATGAGAAGAACATTCGGTGGTTGTAAACTCAACATATGACCTTCAACTGCGTGGTTATGCTTGGTTGTACTGTAGGTATAGAAGAGTTGAAAAGTATGCCATTAAGATAAGTTTTATGATAAACTATTCAATTTATTTCATGGAATAATAGGATCTAAAAGAGAAGGAGAATGAAGAACTGGATATTCAGTTGAAAGTGTTTGATGAAAACAAAGAAGAAGACTTAATTGAGTTGGCCCACCGCCTCAGTGACATCAAAGTAGAAATGGAATATCCTTTTAAAGGACTGTACAATTTTATTAGAAATGAATGCTTGCAGAAAGTAGCCTTTTGCAGTAGTGCTAGGTATTATAATCTAATTACTAGGGGCATGCATGAGGAGTGGAGAATATGTGCTGGCATGTTATTTCAAACTGGGCATAGACCAGTTGGCACTAATAATAAGTCAATAAGACATACGTACAATTTTTGGAACTTTCCCCTTGATTCACAGAAAGTGCACCTTATTTAAACAGATAGTTGAGAAGCTATAGACTAGGAGTCTATAGCTCCTAGTCTATATATATAGCTCCTAGTCTATATAGCTCCTATATTGAAGAGTATACGTTGAATGTCTGGAAATAAAATATAAGGAGAATTAGATGCGAGAGAATTGGCCAACTAATGGAAATCAGTATGTGAAATTTAGTATCCCCAGTATTTCTTCTTGACCCCATTGTCTCCTTAGGGTTCTCAGGTCACAATGCTGCAGTAACAGTTGTAGTCACAACTAGTGGAATTACCTTGCATGATCTAGGATAGCATTCCCCAACTGGGAGCCTACCAGATGTTTGGACCACAACTCCAGTCAGCTCTAGCCAATATGGCTGTGCTAAGTGGAACTGATTGGAGTTGTAGTAAAATAATAATAATCTGAAGGGCATCCATTTGGGAAAGGCTGGATATTATTTATTTATTTATTTATTTCCCACCTTTTTCTCTGACAGCAGCTTGCAACTAAAATAGAAACAGCTAAAACATATTTTAAAATAATTAAAACCAATTAAACATGCACATGATTGTATTGTAAGACATAACTTTAAACATCGGAGGGAAAAGTAAGTTTAAAAGAGGCACATATATTCCATTCTCTGATGATAACCAGCTTCTGTAGTTAAACACAAGTAGAAGAGGAGCTCAAAAAGCAAAGGTGACACTTAATTTGGCTTTTGTTTCTTGTGACCACTTTACCAAGGATTACACCTAATGCTTCTGTCATCTCCTTTCTCACAGATTTCATCCCTTTCAGCCTGTGCCTTCTTGGCTTCCTAATTTATGGTTCCCAGTCCTGCAACCCCTTCCTACTTGCCTGCCCATTTCCTTTCCAGTTTTGGAGGTTTGGCAGCTTGTCCTGTTAACTGTAGTCAAAATATATTGGCTAGTGGAAGCAAGTAAACTTGATAAACTTTGGTTGAAAGTTGGCTTGTTTCACAAAGTATAGTTAAGATTAATTACAGTTCCTCTAGATTTGGATGATACTGCAAAGCTTCTAAAGTCATTGTAACTGCACCAGATTGGAGTAGTGGAGGTGCATGGGCAGGGGAGGCTAAGTTTATGTTTATAGCAGACCAGTAGCTTAATGCTGGAAAGTGCTAAGTGTAATAATATGTCTCTGATTTCCTAACAGTGTAACTTTTCTAAAACTTTAGTTCAAAATTCAGAAAACAATTCTTACTTCCTTGGTAATAGAAATGCTTAATTTCGCTTTACGGTCAGGTTTGTCAGTCTGTGTTAATCATATAATGAAAAAGTGAGAATTTTCTTACCAGGTTTATATATTATTTATATATAATTTATATATATAATTTATATATTTTTGGATAATTTTCAATAATTACTCAGTTTTATCTTCTTTTTTGTTGTTTTGATGACACATTTTATTACATATTATTAGTTTTGGTTGGTTGTTTTAAGACCCCACCCTGATGTCTGCGTAGATAAATAATAGAAATAAATAATTTATATTCTTTATTTATAATTTAAATAAATAAAACTATGTAATATATTGTATTTGCACTGATTCTATGTTTCTAAGCACTGAAGATATTAGTGGCATAAAAATCGTTACACAGAGATACTGGCTTCTCAAGGAACCCAATAACTTATCAGAAGAGCAGCATCTCAACTAGATAGGACAGAGGGGAATCAAACAAGCATCAATCAAATCTTGATTTCAAAGAAGGCTGAAGTTTTGGAACAGTACATAGTGTTAGTTTGAATAAAGCCGTATCTTGGTTTTCGAATAGAATGCGTTCTGGAAGTCTGTTTCACTTCCAAAACATTCAGAAACGAAGGCGCTGCTTCTGACTGACTGCAAGAGCATCCTGCAGCCAATCGGAATCCTCAGATGCCGTGCTGGACATTCGGCTTCCAAGACAAAGTTTGCAAACCGGAACACCTACTTCTGGGTTTGCGGTGTTTGAGTTACAAGTTGGTTCATGAACTAAGCTGTTCGAAAACCAAGGTACGACTGTACTTCTATATTTAATAGTGAATTATACGCTTCATGTTTGTGAGTAGCAGAAAATCAAAATTCCATGAAGAGGAATATTAAGAATAGTAATTCATTACATGAATAGTTATTTTGGGATCTAAATAGATACTTTAGGTGTGCAGAAAGGCTTGTGTGCTGCCTTACACACAGAAGAAATTTTAAGGGCTCTTTAGACATAATCTTCAAGAATGCAGTGTTAATTTATGGGTGCGTTTTTCTGTAGAACAATTTTGGTATTTCCTTGACAATCCTTGTACTGATGTGAATGAGGTCTACCACCTATTGTATAACATGCTGAGAGAAACAGCATCTGAAAACTACTTCCTATCTATTTTACAACATTTTCTACTAATCAGGAATGATTATTATGTTCGGTAAGTCAGCAGTGATTTTTATGTCCAGTAAGTCAGCAATTTTTGAATTTCAGTTTAAAATTTGGTTTTCACATAACAGAGTGTCACACTACTCGTTATTTGTATGTACAAGTGCATACAATGTACTGGACAAAAGTGAGGCTCTTTGGGAAGGGGATGAGGTATGGAAAAGCTTTATTTACGTATAGTTTACAGACCTAGAAAAATGATGTAGTTCCACAGCTCCCATACATGGAGGATTTGTTAGGGAATTAGGACATCTGATTATTCCTTCTATATTGCCATCCAGTCTTCCCTCTTGGCATGAGGAGCAAACAGGAAGGTTTGATTGGCGTCTCCCATCTCCAGTAATAGCTTCGTGTATACTTTGTGGAATTGTACCAAGCAGAGAAGTGGTAAATAGCATATTGAACCTAGATAAATCCTCTGCACGCAAAATTTTTGCACATTTGCAGGATTATACCACCATAAACAGAACAGCAACCCTTCAGTTGTTATGTATGAAAATGGACTAGCTCCCATCAGTTATTAAGTAGACTAAAATGTTTCTTCTTTATTTTTAAAAGTGCCTTGGTTATTAAAATCAATACATTTTTGTGTTTTTTTGGTGACCAGACCTCAATATTACAAGATAATAGAAGAATGCGTTTCACAGATAGTATTGCACTGTAGTGGTATGGATCCTGACTTCAAGTGTAGAGGAAGGTTGGATGTAGATTTCACTCACCTTGTAGGTATGTGAGCATCATAATGTTACACTATTTTAGTAATTATTGTTTAAGGATTCTCTCCCCCCACCCCAAGATCACCATTTATGTAGTATAGGCGTGTTTCAACCAAAGTTAAGCCATTTTAAGTTCTGTTCTTCCTCTGGTAGAGAGTTGAATGTATAAGTCTTCTATTGAAAACACTATGTATAAAAGGGGGTTAATTTTTTTATGTGGATTATGCTCTAGATTTTTAATTAGTGGAATCTATGCCACACACAGTATTTCTATATGGAGGCCTTCTGTTCGCTCTATTATTACAAATGTTCCATGTGCATATCAAAATTCTCTTGATTCAGTGTTATTGGTTAGGTGAAACCAGAAATAGATGCACATGCATTGGAGCAGCTAGCAGTGACTACAGTGGGCTCTATTGTACCATGCTGTAGCTTTAGTCTTCTTCCAAAATGTGTGAGCTTGTCCGCCCCCCCCCAATGCATGTTTGACTAGTTAGCAAACTGAATAGAAAGATTCAAATATGAGTAATGATAGGCATATACAAGTTGTTAAAAGTGCTCCTGGATAAAAATGGGTATCATTCATAGAGAACAGGAATGCTTCAGTGGCTATTATGTTTTGTTAAATGTCAGAACTTTGGATCATAAACTTTTTAGGTAGAAAAATCTCTTATAAAGCAATTTTCTGCTCAGCCGATGAGGAACTAGTGCTGTCCAGTTAGCATCACATTGCTACAAAGTTGAATTTGTAATTAAAAATATGAATTTTTTAAACTTTATTGAATCAAGAAATGTTAAATTTTTGAAAATGTTTGTTGTGCTCAGAAACAGTGTTCATTCAGTATACCTCATCTGCATATTTGCCTTGTAAAGTGGATTTTGCATTGGTCTTTTTGGTTTAATTTTCTTAGATTGCTGCGTGGACAAAGCAAAAGTGGAAGAAAGTGAGCAAAAAGCTTCAGAATTTTCCAAAAAGGTAGGTACAAGGAAAATTTCTGGCACTGAACACGTTTTTCTTTCTATAATCTGAGATCCCATAATTAATAGACACTTACAACCTGTTTCTTTTTAATTTTAAATTGTTTTAATAGTTTTTCATATTGTATTTCTGCATTGTTGTAATGTGCCCTGGGATCTTAAGTGGGAGATAGATATACAGTGGTACCTCAGGTTACATACGCTTCAGGGTTACAGACTCCGCTAACCCAGAAATACTACCTCAGGTTAAGAACTTTGCTTCAGGATGAGAACAGAAATTGCATGGCGGCATCAGGAGGCCCCATTAGCTAAAGTGGTGCTTCACGTTAAGAACGGACCTTTGGAACGAATTAAGTACTTAACCTGAGGTGCCACTGTAATTGAAATTTAGCAAATTAACCATGCCTGGGCAAATTTGAACTATTTATCTGAACTTCATTTATGTATTATTTATTTATTACATTTCTATACCGCTCTACACCCAAAGATCTCAGCCAGTTCACAACATAAAAAAAAAAAAAAATTTACAACACAAAATGCATAATACAAACAAAAATAAAGCAAAGCTAATAACCCCCTCCCACAAACACATTTAAAAGGCCATAGAATGTTTAAACAGCCAAAGGCCTAGTTTTAGAGAAATGTTTTTGCCTGGTGCCTAAAGATATGTAATGAAGGCGCCAGGCAAGCCTCCCTAGAAAATGCATTCCACAAACAGGGAGCCATCACAGAAAAGGCTCATTCTTGTGTTGCCATTCTCTGGAGGAGGCACATAAAGAAGGGCCTTAGATGATGATCACAGAGTCTGAGTCAGTTCATATGAGGAGAAGTGGTCCTTGAGGTATTGAGGTCCTGGGCTGAACAACAGCAGCAGCAGCAACAACAACAACAACACCCTGCCCAACTGACTGGGTTTCCCCAACCACTTTGCGCAGCTTACAGCACATAAAAATGGTAAAACACTAGACATTTAAAATTTCCTGATACAGGGTTGCCTTCAGGTGTCTTCTAGACCAGTGTTTCCCAACCTTGTGCCTCCAGCTGTTTTTGGCCTACAATTCCCATCATCCCTTGCCACTGGTCTTGCTAGTCAGGGATGATGGGAGTTGTAGGCCAAAAACATCTGGAGGCACAAGGTTGGGAAACACTGAAGTCAGTTAGTTGTTTATTTCCTTTACAACCGATGGGAGGGCATTTCACAGGGCAGGCGCCACCACCGAGAAGGCCCTCTGCCTGGTTCCCTGCAACCTCACTTCTCACAGTGAGGGAAATGCCAGTAGGCCCTTGGAGCTGAATGATGGGGGTGGAAACGCTTCTTCAGGTATACTGGACCAAGGCCATTTAGGGCTTTAAAGGTCACCAACACTTTGAATTGTGTTGGAAACTTACTGGGAGCTAATGTAGGTCTTTAAGGACAGGTGTTATGTGGTCCTGGTGGCCACTCCCAGTCACTAGTCTAGCTGTCACATTCTGGATTAGTTGTAGTTTCCAAATAACCTTCAAGGTAGCCCCACATAGAGCACATTGCAGTAGTCCAAGTAGGAGATAACCAGAGCATGCACCACTCTGGTAGGGTCTCAGAATTGACGTGCCCCTCCATGGACAGCTGTGAGTCCAGAATGATTCCCAGACTGTGCACCTAGTCCTTCAGGGGCACAGCTATCCCATTCAGGACCAGAGAGTCCTACACACCAGCCCACCCCCTGTCCCCCCAAAACAGTACCTCTGTCTTGTCAGGATTCAACCTCAGTCCGGTAGCTGCCATCCATCCTCTAACCACCTTCAGAAACTCACGCAGGACATTCACTGCCCTCACTGGTTCTGATTTAAAAGAGAGGTAGAGCTGGGTATCATCTGCATACTGATGCAACACCCAGACCAACCCCCCGGTTTCTCCCTGGATGAAGTAGCCTATTTCTCCTGACTAGCGCTGACATGGTTGACTGTGATCAAAATGTAATGGACCTGGCAACAGACCCACATCACAGTTTGAATTTGTCTAATAAGCAGGTGGAAAAACTCTGTTTTTCTTGGTCAGTTTTGATCAAATGGAGGAATTCGAGCTATTCCTATGCTGAAGGGCCAGGGAGGATAGTTTTGCATTTTGAACAAAGCAGTTTTAACTTGTCTCCTATTGGCTGCCTTGCTGTGCCAACCACATGTACTGTGTTAGCTATATGGAATCATTCCCTATAAGCCCATAGGGAGGTTGAAAGGGCAGGTTCAACAGTAGTTTATTTAGGGGACTTCTTGAAAAAGAGCAGCGTAAAACCATTCATCTACTGCATTCTGATTTCACTAGGTTAATATTCTATGTTGGGGGTATGTGTTTGTGGGGGTTTTTTTTGCAGGGAGAGGAGTGGTTAAAGTTTGCTAAGTCAATCAGTTTAACTCTCTTCTGTAGAAGTTCTACCTACAAATCTTTTAGAGATACTGTTTTTTTGGGATCAATATATTTGACTGCTAGAATGTTACACATAATCTGAAAAAGGTTCATGTACTATGGCAAATTTTCTAGAGGTAATTTATCATGCCATAGGCTATTTTGCCACAAACTCAGTCTTTTTATTTCTCTCTATATTTCTGGCAGCAGTCTTCTCTATTAATTCATCTTTATCTTGAATAAAGCATTTGAAAAATCTGCTGTACTAGAGAAATAAGCATATTGAAAAGGGATTAACACTTTTCAAGATACTGTGCATGTATTAGCTACCATCCAGTTCAACATGTTTTCTAAAATAAATTGATCAAATTTGATTATTATGAGTTATTGGAAACATGTGCTTCAGTATTCCTTTCAAAGTTTGTTGAGTTTTAAAGTCCTCACTTATTCATGCTGGGAATGCTTCTTCCATTGAAACCATTATTATATGCTGGTGGCTCCTACAACTGAGCAGATTTGGTAAATTTGAATAATGGTACATCACCCTTGAAAGCTACAGAATTTGAAAAAACACCAACACACCATTTTTTTTTGTATTTAGACTTCCACTTTTCAAATGAAAATCTATGAAAATCAAATTTAACTAGTTTTAAAGATAGCCTATAAGAAAATTTACTTCTTTTAATTGCAAAGCATATTTGCATCACATAAAAGCTTTAGATTTTCATACTAGCAGAACAACCTACCTTATGATGGAAAGAAAATGACATTAACTAAACAAGTATAACAACATTCTATTTGTTTTGTTTGTGTACATGACAAACACATGCATTCATACTCTCAGTTCTGCCTAGTATTATCTAGAAGATTGTCTGCTGTTCAAATACAGATGTAAACAAAAGGCTGTGGAAGGTTGTACATGTATTGTTTAACTGCACACAGTTGAAGTGACAGCCCCACCTCATTACAGTACCAGGTTGGGAGGAAGTAAATTTAGAACTGTTTTCCCCATATCATGGTCCGTTCCCTGTGTGGTCATAAAGTTTTTACATTGTAGGCCCAGGCAGAGTGGAGCCAGTGGCAGGGGTTGGAATAATAACATCAACAAAGTACACGGGGTAACAATATTGGGACTGAAAAGGCCACAGTTTTATTGGTTACAGGTGTCAGATGATTTGGCATAGGTATTGGGTGTATATATACTGAAATCAACCAGCCAAACTGCTGGTTAATGTATAGAGTTGACCAAGTTAAGAGTCACCCTGTGTTGTGCAGTGCCTCTGAGTGACCACTAAGATCACTCAGTGGAGGTGATATGGCCTGTTAACCCCTTAGCTGGGAATCTGTACAAGAAGCGTCCCCAGGTTCCCTTAAGGGGATACCCCACGACTGCAGGGCAAACGGGGCCCACCCTCCACCCACCTAGCGTAAGGATGCAACCCAATGCATTTCTGCCTGCAAGTTTGTGGCAATTGCTATGAGGTAGATGAAACCAGCAGACAGGCCCAATTTGTCTTCAGGGAAAATTTCTCCCTGGCCCTGAATATAGCAACTGATAAAATCCATAACAAGATCCATCCAGGGCTTACCTGCTCACCTTTAAAACAAAAAAAAATTCCTTCTAGTAGCACCTTAAAGACCAACTAAGTTAGTTCTTGGTATGAGCTTTCGTGTGCATGCACACTTCTTCAGATACACTCTGTGTATACACTTAGATACACTTAGTTGGTCTTTAAGGTGCTACTGGAAGGAATTTTTTTGTTTTGACTATGGCAGACCAACACGGCTACCTATCTGTAACTGCTCACCTTTAGGTAGCCTGCAAACCATAGAAATAAGACAGGGAAGGTAGGAAATCCAGCACTGACTAACTGGAAGAGTCCTGGTGTGGCTGATAGAGTGAACCAGAAGGAATAAGTTCTTACTCAGGTCTGCTCCCCAGCCTCATCCTCCATCTTACCTACTGGTGAGACTTGCAAGTGAGCACCTGTCTGTTGGTGTGCCAAAAGGAACCAGAAGTGCCCCCTTCCATGACACCAAAGCCTGAAAAGGGAAACAAGCTCTGATAAGATAAGATTCCTCTGCGCTTCTAGTCTTTTTGATTATGACCAAAATGTTTCAGGGGGAAGAGGACTGAGGTAAATCTGTCAAATGTTTTTGGAGGAAGTGGACTGAAGTAAATCTGCCCTTTTAGTATTTTAAATATTACAGCATTTATATGCATAATATTAAGTTTTAAAAGCAGGTCCTTAAGATTATGCAGATTCTAATGAAAATGCCTAAGATGTTGAGTCTTGTGTACCTGCAAGTTGACAGGAATGTGTGAGAAGCTGACTCTAGATATTCATTGGTGTGAATGCTTTAAGCCCAGGAAAATTGGAGAAAAAAATATTTGGCTAGTCTAGGAAGCCTAGCAGGCTTCTATTATTTTACTCAATCTATATAACACTCTTGTGAAAGTTAAAGCATTATGTTTGGACAAAGATGGATGACTGCTTCTATGTTGGTGATCATTGCAGTTTGATGAAGAATTCTCAGCTCGACAGGAGGCACAAGCTGAGCTTCAAAAACGAGAAGAGAAAATCAAAGAACTTGAAACTCAAATCCAGCAGTTACAAACCCAGGTAATATAACAAGATGGATTTTACATGTTTTCAAAATGTGTTCTACTTTGGGGAAGTATGGAATTAACTTTTTAAAAATTAAGGGGAAATTACTAGCAGTGGCAGTGGGCTAAAGATAGATGGCAGGAGAAATATTGCATCACTGTTTCAAATCAGACAGTGTGACTGGTTCCTTCTACTGGTCTATGTGTGAGCAGGAGCATCACTGACTGGTCATCTTACAAAATTTACCTAATGATCTCAAGGCAGCATACATGCTACCTCCCCCCACCCCTTCTATTCTTACAGCAACACTGTGAGATAGGTTAGGCTGAAAGAATGAGTAACTACCCAAAGTAATCCACTAAGTAAGCTTCGTGGGTGGATGTGGATGTGAATCTATGTTAGTCCAACACCTTAACCACTACTCTATTTAAATAAATTGGGGAGGAGGATGCACTTTAGCTCTGAAACGACCCTGAATCACTTTGGCTGAAAGAAGAAATCATGTACAAATATGCTTCTTTATTGAATTTTATGGCCCTTTCTGATTGCTCTATAAGCAATAGTCACATCTGTGGCATTAAAACATGAACACTGGATCATCTTGGAAACACAAGACTCTTCCATATTTGAAGATATTCTGTAAGCAACTGCCAGCACTCTTTTATGTGCATTTTGGTTTTGCGATGATGTTTGTTTTATTCTTTTAATGTGCATGTTGGTTAGAAAGCTTAGTGTAACTTCTCCGGAAATGAGTGTTGCTTAAGGCATATAATGCAAACTGTAAATGAAAATTTATGTTTGATTCACTTGCACTGAGAGGATATTACAGAAGATAACTTCTTTTGGGCACTTTAAATACAGTTGGTGGTATGGAGAAATTTTGTTGGTCATATTAATGAGCTCAAATGCTTACTAAATCCCTAAGAAGCAGAATTGTCTCTGTGCCACTGTTGGTTAACATTTAGTGTCAGTTGGGTACTGTGTCTTGTAAAGGACACAGAAGGTATACCAGTTATAGAAATCATATCTCTATTTAGAGATAAGAGGGTAGAATCATAGGACAGACTGTCTTTTCTTTTAAAGGAACAGTTGAAAAATAAAAGTTTGAAAGTTCAGCTATTTGGAGTCTGCTGGTAGAAAATCACTTGCTTTATTCTAGACGGAGAAGTCTGGAGAGTAGATTTCTAATTTATGACTTTTTATCCTAGTGGTACCATATTATGTGGTATTTTGACCAAGGCCTCACTCAAATGGTATTGCTGAAAGCTTATATTAGAACAGATAATAAACTTCCCTGGTGTTATCTTGTCAGTAGAAGTGAACATTTTTAAGCATCACAGCCAAGAGCCAGATCCTCTTCCTAATTTCTCAGCCTGCACAGTTAACATCATTTTGAAGATGGATTTTCTGAGGTAGTGAATATTTGAATATGGGAACCTTAAGATGATAATTCGGTTTCAGCCATTTGGCTTCCTTTTTAACAGTTCTATGAATACCACACAGATAAAAATATCTTAAGCCCTTGGAAAGTATTTTGTTAATGGACCTTTTTTTCTTGTTTTCAAATGTCACTTCATTAATTCTCTTGATCTATTTTAATATGAAGAAACTCTTTAAAAAGTTGCATATGGCGCTTACTAATGTAGTGCCAAAAATATAACCCATTTCTGTTAAATGACTCATACTGATTTGAAAATGATTCCATCCCCCCTTGGTAAAGACCACATTCTTTTTCATTATGGGTTTCATCTCTGTGAAATCCTTCAGCAATGTAGAATAGAATATAGTTGGAACAACCTTGCTTACATGAGCAACCTGGGAAACATGGAAAATGTTCTGGTTCTCGTAATATGCAGGTTGTCATTTACATGAGAATTTACTTGATGCCTCTGGTGTCTCTTGTGTGGCCAGCATTTTCTCTGTTCCCTTTTTTCAACCCTCAGATCTAAAACATGCTTATTTTTCAGGCTCCTGTGTCTTCAAGTGGCTCACCTCCTGCAGGAGTACCACCTCCGCCACCACCACCACCTCCTCTTCCAGGTGGTTTAGCCTCTGCAGCACCACCTCCTCCTCCACCACCACCACCACTTCCTGGTGGTATTCCACCTCCACCACCTCCTTTGCCTGGAGGGTCTATACCACCTCCACCTCCACCTATGTTTGGTGGACCACCACCACCTCCCCCTCCTTTTGGAGGAATTCCACCTCTAGGAGTTGCACCAGCACTGCCTTTTGGAATGAAACAGAAGAAGAAGTACAACCCTGAAGTGTCTATGAAGAGAATCAACTGGGCAAAGGTATATAAATTTAATTTCACCAATATTTTCACCACTTTTATGATCTTTAAAGGAAAGAATGGCAGGAATTTTGTTTTGAACATAAGAATTCTAGAATTTAAACTCTTTCTAATTTTAGGGCTGATAAATTTTCAATAGTCGCAATTTGTTAACCTTTAAAACTCATTTGTAGGATGGAGTAATCTGAAGGGATTTGGGACACTTTTTCTTAAGAGTAGTGATAGCTGTAGGAAGTGCTGTGTATACCTGTGGAAACATAACTTAATTAAAAATATTATTATTGAACAACAATATCACAATGCACTTGAAGATAAAAACAAGAATTAACAACAAAATAATATAAGCTCATCACAATGAGCTTTTGATAGTAAAGTCAAACAAAAATAAAAATGAAATGAATACAATTATAAAATGATAAATGGGATATAAAAACACAATTTATGGTCTAATCAAACCCCCAAATAGCACTATTATCTTATTTTCCTTTAGAAATCCAAGGAATGCCTAATAAATATTTTATTACCTATTTGTGAACCGCTGCCAGATTAATAATTGTCAGGTATTGGAGGACCCTTAATGAAAATCTCTTTGAAGCCTGGCTATCACAGACAGGGGACTGTACTTATGGACAAGCTTTACAATGAGAGCACCATACTGGAAAGAAAACACAAACTTCTATGCAACATGGTATCCTTTTATTGGGACGCGAGTGGTGCTGTGGGTTAAACCACAGAGCCTAGGACTTGCCGCTCAGAAGCTTGGCGGTTCGAATCCCTGCGACGGGGTGAGCTCCCGTTGCTCGGTCCGTGCTCCTGCCAACCTAGCAGTTCAAAAGCACGTCAAAGTGCAAGTAGATAAATAGGTACCGCTCCCAGCGGGAAGGTAAATGGTGTTTCTGTGCGCTGCTCTGGTTTGGCCAATAAAGCGAGATGAGCGCCGCAACTCCAGAGTCGGTCACGACTAGACCTAATGGTCAGGGGTCCCTTTACCTTTATCTTTTATCCTTTTATTTAATATGCACAAACTATTGAGCATGACTTTCATCCACCAGCATCACACAGAACATTGCAGATGGAATGACACTTTAATCTGACACCTACATCCAATGAACCACAACTGGGATTGCTTCTGTTCTATTTCGCCCCCCGCTTTTTTTGATGACACTGTACTCTAATGACTTCCTGTTATTGTTGCTATTATTCTCTTCTCTACTTTTATTTATGCAATTAATTCATAACGGAATATCAATAAGATACTTTTGGAAAAACTCATACAACTTACATTGTGCAATGAAGGAAATGGGGAAAAAGAAAAAGGTGTTGCCTGTTTATAGACATCAACAAATAAAATTTTATTTCAAGGGAATTTGCTACCTGTGTGACTGTGATGTCATATACTTAATAACCCCCCCCAAATAAATGTGAAATTAGAAGGATTATAATCACCCTTGGTACTTGAATATATCTATCTGTCTATCTATCTATATATCTATCTGCGATAGCAATGGACACAACTTTATTGAACCATGTTTCTAACTTTATTGAACCATGATTCTATCATGAAGCATCTTTCCAGCTCTGAGCAATTTCCAAATAAGTAGATATATGTACAATTAACTGTTTACATATCTGTATTACCTTTATACAAAATAAGCAAAATCTGTAGTTTAGGGGCCAGGATCACATATTTACGTACAAGTGCACTGATTTCTGTAATCAATTGTTTCCAAAATTTATGAACTTTGGTATGACTTAGACATTTTCCATCTGAATATATTTAAAGAGTGAAAATTACAGGAGCAATAGAAGCATTTTACAAAGCCATCGTAAACAGTTTTCATTATATCTGCACTAAAGGAAGGTAGTTAACTTTTTAGCCTGACATAGGCTGTCGTCTATTTAAGGAGGACAGCTGAATTTTTTATTTTTTATTTTTAGAACCATATCCACATATTTTGTCCCTTTTAAAATAAAATGTGGACATTTTCTTTGATTATTGCAAAGCACAGTTATATGCTTTCTTTGTTCACCATTGTGAGGTTCACTTCACTGATATAGGTTGTATTTATAAATAGGTTTATTGCTTTTCATTCTAGTCTAGTAGCTGAGGCGGAGGATGTTGATATTTATGTGCATGATTTTATATAACTTCAGGACAGAAATTTAATCTAATGACACTTTTGAAGGTAATCCTTTCTGAAGTTTATATACATTAGGAATGCATGGCATAACACATTACTCTTAACATTCTGTCAGGCTTAGGGTTCTGATGTATAAACACCATGTATTATTATCTTATTCAATATGTTCAGAGAAATGCATTTGAATAGATCTTCATTTTATCTGCACATAGAATTATTGTACAATATAGGAACACAATGAGCTTTTTCGGACGGGACTGTTCAGTGTGCCCTCCATATGTTGTTGGACTACATTTACTATCAGCCTTAGCCACCAGTACCAGTGATCAGTGATTGAAGTTGTAGTCCAACAACACCTAGTGGGGCACAGGTTAACCTCTTCCTACTCAGGAAAAGTTCAGTCTCCATTCTGAAAACTTGTGAAAGGAAAAAAGCATCAGAAGGTGCCAGTTCCGTTCTCTTTCCAAGTCTGTTGCACTATTTTTGTGAAAACTTATCTCTTTATGCTTACACTCCCACTTCTCTTTTGTTTGATGAAGAAGTTCGAAGTTGAAATACTGCTTTCTAAAAATTTCCTGTTCGATTTTATGGCTTACATCTTCTCATTGTCATATATTGTACTTAACTGATGATTGCACAGTCACTAAGCACCTAACAAATTTTATTTCAGGTTGAACCACAGGAAATAACAGAGAATTGTTTTTGGATAAAAGCAAAAGAAGAAAAATTTGAAAACCCAGATCTGTTTGCAAAGCTGGCTCTCACTTTTGCTACACACATGAAAGGTAGGTACTTCGTTCTTTCCCCCTAAATAGTCTGTGAATAATAGATATGTAATTTTTTGCTTTTAATATTGTTATACCACCAGTGTGCATGGTATTTTAAAAAGTTAGATAAGCAATAAATAAATAAATACCCTTGGGCAATAATTCCAAGACTCATACAGTCTACATTTGAAAGGGGAAGATAACAGGAAAGAATGAAGGAGATGCAGGTAGGATAACAGGTACAGAATATGTGTAAGTTCAGAGTAATGTAGTCAGGCTTAGTTGATCTAGGTTAAATTGACTGAGTGGTTAAGCAAAAGATCAAACAGAGTTTTGAGGAAGCATTCTGAAGTAAACATGAATCACATGTGCTATGGAAGGGAGTCCTAGCATAAAGGACAAAGAGAAAGAAAAGGCAGTTATTCCCAGGGTGTGGCTGCTGTTGCATTCTGACAGCTTCTGGGAGCCACAGGTGAGAGCTGAGTGCAGGGTGGGGACCAAAGGGATGCAAACTACCTCAGAAGGAACACAACATGTTGCTCCACCAGAGGTACTACCACTCCTCTAAAACCCTAAATAACCTGCTAAACCAGGTGAGAGTAGCTAATGTGTCTCAAACCCTCAGTGAGTTAGGAACTTCCTTTTCATGCAAGGACAGGCTCCAGCAGTTGAGACCAATAGTAGGTCCAATGTTCAAGAAAGTGGTTTCTTGTGCTTTAGAGCAGAGTTTCCCAACCTTTTTCTGACCATGGCCCCCTTCCGACCTTGTTTCCTTCCTGTGCCCCCCATGGGCATAGCCAAAGGTGGGTGGGTGGGAAGCTGCCCTCCAATAAGTAAAAATCAATACAAATCAATACACACTTGAGGTTCTGCCCCCCCTAACAAAAGCCTACCCCCCTAACAAAAATCCTGGCTATGCCTATGCCCCCCCAATGGTAGAAAGGTATATATTTAAGTGTTTTGTTTGTAAACAGAACATGTTTTATTTATATTTTTTTATAATTTATACAAAATACAGTTACATAAAATGATAGGAACATAATGAAATATTGTTGAAGCAGGTAAACATGGAATCAGAAATTTGGAAGGGACCCCAAGGGTCATCTTTCTAGTGCAGCCCCCTGCAACATAGGAAACTCAGTTAAAGCATCCATGACAGGTGGCCACCCAACCTCTACTTAGAATCCTCCAAGGAAAGAGAGTCCAGAAACCTCCAAGGAAGGGGAGTTCAGTCCAAAAGGCGCACAGAAAGTTCTGATATATGGAATAATTTTAAAAAGCAAGTGGTCCTCACTGACCTGATCCAAAACGACCTTGTAATCTGGAGGAGCCCTGGCTGCTTATAGCCCCACACACCCTTACCTGGTAGTAAGGCCCACTGAACTCAGTGTGGCTTTCTTCTGAATAGACACTTAGTTATTTACTAGATGCAAGTCAGCAGCACAAATGACCCTGCTTGAGTGGTGCTGGGGTGGATTTTAACCCGTTCCTTGTAGAGCTGGGTGGTTGCTCTGCAAGGTTGGGAAGGTTCCCAAAAGGCTGGGAAACATCTGAAGGCCTGATCTGCTAGGCGCTGGGGTGGATTCTACCCCGTACCTTGAGGAGTCAGGCCCAGACTGCAACCCAGCCCAGCACTGGTGGCAGCAGCAAGCACCTCTGGCTCACTCAGCCCTACCCATTGCCACCTCACTGCCACACTTACTGACCTGAGGGTTCTGGATCATGGGCTCTGCTGGTCTAAATGTGAGCCTTAGAAATCGCCCTCTCCTGCTGGAAACAAACCAGGACTGCTCCATGAAAATACATGTGGCAAAAAGGAGCGCTAGGCCCTGGTGGGCTGCCCCCTTACCCGCTTGTGATTGGCCAAGCGGATAGCCTTCCAATCAGGATTTTTTAATTTTAAAAAGTGTTTTTTCCTTCACTTCTCACTTCCCCCTGTGGCCCCCTAGCCTCGTGGTGTGGTCCCCCCATTTATGTGATTTTTTACCTGTGCCCCCCTTGGAATATCCAGGGGGCCATATGACTCCTGTTTGGGAAACACTGCTTTAGAGGGAAGTGAGGGGCAGATGGGGCTTGTCAACCTGAGAAGGTAGCCCACCTGGGAGAAGGAAAACTGATCTTAAGCCTCCACTTCCTTGTGGGTCATCTCCAAGAGAAGAAAAGGCTAAGGAATAAATCCTAAAGAAATCCAAAGTGGCGTCCCTAAGATGGCTGGATGGTGCTTTGGACAACTCCTTTAGCTAAGTAGTTCTCCATGTATTGTTCTGTTTTCCTTTGGACCACATCAGCAAGGTTGAGAGGGGGATATTGCTGTCTGGGCAGCCCAGGACCTTCTTACACATTTCCCAGGCTTGCGCCCTGGAGAGGTCACTTTTGATGCAGTGTTTTTTACTAGAAAAATACATGCTGGTACTCACCATGAAGTTGTTACAGTAGGTGCCACACTTTTGAACAACAAAAAACAGGTGCCGGTACCCTTGAGTACCCCCGGGGGGGGAAACCAGCTGCTTTGGTGCTGCTAACCCAGTAGTTTGACCTAACTCCTGGAGGCACACTTGGTTGTCTCTCAAGACAGACAGATTCCAACTAGACTTTCCAACTGCTAAGGGTTGTAGAGCTTGAAAAGCCAAGGTTATGGGGCAGGAATGTTTTATAGAATCTTTTGTAGGAGAAAGGGCTATGTTGGGGTTTGAGTGAATGTAAAGGTGAGGATTAATTTATGTGTATAATTCTCAAATAGAGTATTATAGAATTCTGCAGTTGCAATACAGTTAAAATACTTGGAGTGAAGCCTTTATTTTCATATTTCCTGATAGAGGCCTTTCAGTCTCTTCTCATGTAGATCCAAATTGGGTTTCCTGGGTGATAAACAGACACCAGAAATAGGTTTTAATAAGCTTTTAGTGAGTATCATAAGATATGAAGTACAATGATTTCAAATTTGCTTATTCTAGCCTTTGGACACAAGGCATATTTTTGTGTAAATTGCATAACAGCATAGTAATTGTGCTCCTGGGGTATGCTAGACATGAATTTCCTCTACATGGCTAAGGCAAATAACTGTCAAGTGTTGTCAGGTTTGTTGCAGCATTGCTTCTCCAGTCAAATTCAGTTAAGAGATCTCTACTGAATGCAATAGTAATATATCAAACTCTAATTTAGGCTTAGTTTTTTTTCTCTTCCTGTCTAGTTCTCTTCTCTCCCCCTTTTCCTATGTTATAGCCAAATCGTCTTATACTTATCCCTGTTGAAAATGTAAATTGAGACATCATCAAATCCTTGAGGTCTGATTTGTTGGCTATATTATGAGGGATTAAATGATAACCATAAATTAAAGTTAACCCAGAAGAAGTATTTCAGCTGGGTGAGATTTATGGTTGGTAATAGTTAAGGAAGTGACAAGAAGTTGAGCACTAACAGGTCTAATAAACTGATGGCCACGATGAAAGCGTTTTAGAAGTGGAATTGCAGTGAAATATTAAAAACAGCAACCTGCAACAGTAAAAATGCTGCTAAAATTATTTTTACCACAGTTTTGATTGCACCAGATGTTGTCTGTCAGATTTCAAGCTGTGATATGGTATTGCTGGAAAACCAGGAAGGATTACCCTGAATGTTCACATCTGCCTTTACTATATCTATAACCTTTTTATTAGCCACTTTTAATTTGGCTATGTTACTAATCTACCATTACTCACTGACTTTCAAATGTTTGTTCATTAACTACCACAAAACAATAATTTTTAAATAGTTATTATAAACAAAATGTTGCTTACCTACAGACTTAATAATTTTGTTATAATATACCATGTTGGGAGTGGTAACCTGAGTGTTAAATTTCATTATCATTCCTAAACCTGTGTATTCACATGACTATGTCTACAAGAACTATGTGCCTCTTAAATAAATTCAGCAGACACAATTTTATATTGCCTTCAACTGACTTATTTGACTTATTTGAAAGTACATTTATAGCTTGGTGAATAGAGAAGCGGAACTAAATGATGCTAGAAGCCTTAACTTTGTATCTCAGGGCGGTCAGTAAGTTTGGAAACTAGATATAGGTGCCACGGGTTTAGTTGTTCCAAAGACACGTTTTTGTGATGCCAAGATTGATAGCTACCATTATTTGTAATGTTGCATCTTGAAAAGTCTGAAACTCAGTTCAGACAAATACATTGATGTATTTTCCTTGTGTTTTGTATAGTGAAGTGGAAATATCTGTTTTTTCCACTATCAAGGGGGACCATAAACTTCTGCTGTTTTCTTTATGAATCTGCACTAATATAGATGAATGCAAGATTATAAAGAAGGTCTTGGCTGGCAAATATGTGAAATTTATTTTTAACTGTGTGTCACCTTTCAGCTAAATGATGGGGGAATTAGAATCATAGCATTTGAATCCTCATCTCAATTTTTTAAATGACTTTTGGGCTTTAAAAACCCCAAGAATAATAACAAAATAATGTGAAGGGGAGGGGAGAGCAGCTCACTAGTGTGTGAGAACATATGTTTGTCTATACAGCTTATGTAACCTGAGGTATAGAGTTAAGCACTCTTAATTCTTTTATTGATTTTATTTAATCTTTGCTTGCTTAACTGTCAGCTAGGGGTGTGTGGTTTTGTGTGTGTGTGTGTGTGTGTGTGTGTGTGTGTGTGTGTGTGTGAAACAAACCGAATTTTATCTTCCTGTTCAGGCTTCCCATTCAGTGAAAAGTGGAAATTCCTTGCACCTTTTTAATACAGTTACAAGTGTGAGAACACAGTGTAGACTTTAGTTCATTTGCAAATTTTCATTTTATACTTATAAACTCATTACAAATGTGATTGCAAATTAAATTAATATGCAGGGGTTACCTGCATCTCGTCATTGCACTCTTGTCCCAACCTGATTGAACTTTTGCAGATATCTGATGTTCACTTTTTCTTTTTGCCAGAAAAGCCTTTTCTAGTATGCATGCACAGAAGTTGTTTATTTTGATGTGGAACTCATGGTAAAATATTATGATTGGCAAATT